GAGGATCGCAGCTCTGGTTGGCCACAAATTGCTGTTTGCCAACTGGGCTCTGGACTGACGGTCCCTTAGCCACGGGATTGGCTCTGGTCCCACCAGACTTCCAGCCACTGGAACCCTCTGCTGCTGGACTCCCAGCCAGGACCTGTTCCCAGCTATTGGGATTCTCTTATCTTGGGTCTCTCTGGTCTGGCAATGTCTATGCTGACACGGATGTTGCTGAATCAGTGAACTCCTGGACCAGAGAGGTTCAATCTGTCTGTACCTGTAAGAAATGTAAGTGCAGGATGAAGTGTGGAGTGCTTGGATAAGGGCTTTGAGTTGGGGCGGTGCAGGAGTCAGAGCAAAGTTGGGAGGCACACAAGTCAGGGGCAGAGGGTTGTGGGGGAGGGGAGCTCAGGGCAGGGAGTTGGGGGGCTGAGAGTGAAGCTCAGGTTTGAGATTAAGGCCACCTCTGCCTGGCCACCAGCTCCTCAGGGCTGGCCATGGCAATGGGGACCATACTGCCTGGCCGCCCAAGCACCAGGGCAGCAAGGACCATGCTGCCCGACCATTTGAGCACTGAGGCTGGAGCATTGAGAACCCTGCCCGCAGCTGGCCTGTCTCTTACCAGTGCATCACACCAGTTTTCTTTCACCTTTGCCTTTGGCCCCAGCAAGTCAGCATGCTCTGGCACATGAGATAAAACAATGAATATTAAAAGGAAAGTCTTGGTACCTCCACCAACTATTTTTTCCTGTAGTCTGAGAGCCTCCCTTCATGTGGCTGGTACATGAAGGGAGGCTGTCGGACTACAGGAAAAAATAGTTGGTGGAGGTACCAAGAAGTCAGTCTATTTTGCATAGTGCTTGAATTCTAGCTGCAGTTGCAGCATGTCTGTTAAAAAAGAGCCTGTTTAGTTTTCGAAACATGGAATGCTCTCATGTTATTATCCTGGACATGGTATGGAAATCACAGATGTTCATTGGTTAGTTTATATTTTATATATCAATATCATTATCAAAAATTTCACAGGGGTAGCTGAGTTATCAAAATAATTTTTTCCTCCACGAAACTCCTTATACAAGGAAGTATTGTTACTTATAGTTTACAACAAGGGAAACTGAACTAATACTACTATCCTCCAGAAATTATGTATTCTTGGTCCTGGATTTACTTCACCTTCCTACGCTCAGATCACGGGATCAGATTTGCCTTGCAACATGCTGATAACAAAATAATTTTTTAGAAACCAAGAGTCATGTCTTGTTCACAAAATCCTAATGCGGTCAGACATAAGGCCCCTTATGCCTTTTATAAAGAGCAGTGGTGCTGACTTATAAAGACAAATACTTTTAGCTTCATTTTCACATTCACCAGTGCACATTTAGGTGCTGGGACTGGTGTACATGGGCAGTGTCTACAGAAAATATACACTGATTAGAAATGAGCTGTTCAAATCTAACACTCTTGGTCAATTACATATTTCACTGCTTGTTCAAAATTGCAGTGCAGAAGCACTGTATAGAATGGCACAGCATGAAATTAAACCAGAGTTTCACATTGATTACTTGCATTTGTCATTCCCCACTCCTCCCCAAGTTCTGCTTTTGGGCTTTACCTTTATTACAAACTGTTCATGAGACTATTTGTATGTGTTGTGTGAAATCATGGCAAACATTTCTCAGACCTAGCCCTCCAAAAGACAGATGAGAGAGGGTAGGATGAATGAGTCAATAGTTGAAATGAATTGTAATGGTCAGTAAACCTTTCCAGCTCCACCTCAAAAATGCTGGTAATCTGTTGCACCGAGTTTCATATTTTGCCTGCCATGTTTGCAGATATAATATGGGAAATGTGTGGGTAAAGCACTGAGCATTTTCAGTGATTAAATGGTGAGAACATTTTAGCGGATGACCCTTTCACATTGCTGCCTACAGCTATGTACAGTAGATCACCACCTGTCATATTTAATCAGACAATCTCCTTGACTGGTTAGCAACAAGTTTCTTATGTTTCTCATATGTCGCCTCATCAGTAGAATATCCTTCTGTAGTTATTAGGTTTTTAGTAGGGTGTTAAATGTAGTGTGCTGATCTAAACCCTTTTTAAAATCTAATATGTGATGTTTTCTTTCCGTTTCTGAGGGGCCTCAGGCACTGAATACAAAATAGCTTTGAACCTTCCCAATTTCACCCACCCACTCTGCCTTTGATCTTTAATCTTTACTCACTGCAAACGAAGATCCAAGCAGAAGCTAGGAGGCATTACAGCTAAGTGTAAACTGTAGACCTGGGGGATGTTATTACATTGCAGAAAGACTGTTGTGCCTATGGCAGTAAAGCCAGTCCGACTCCAAATAAACTTGTGACATGGCAAGCACATTAACATGAAAATAATCACAGCTCAGATACTCCAGAGAACATTCAGTCCTCTGATTCAATGACAAAATTGGTGTATATTTCTGGCTAGGAAATTAGAAATGATTATACAGTTTTGTTAGTAGCACAGCATGCTGTGCTTTGCAATGTGATTATTTCTGTTTCTGTTACATTAGCACTGAGAGCATTTCTACACTGAATTAGGGGAGCAAGCTTCTCAGGCTATGTACACACACTGTATTAGCTGTGTGGATGTAGCTCTAACACTGTGCTTTGGGCTCCCAAATCCACCCATGCCCACGGGCTCCCAAACCCACAGGCTTCAAAGTCCAAGCTGCAGTGTCTATGATTAGGCTCGCCATTGAGCAGGGCAAAGAGGGAGTTGCCTCTGGGCCCAGTGAGTCAAAAAGCCTGGGCCTTCTGGACACTGCTACCAAAGGAAAGATGGTAGCCAGAGTCCTGGAACTTCTGAATTGCCTCTGGAGCTCTGCACAGTGTGCTCCAAGCAGCTTTGAAGGCTGGCTGCCTCCAGACTCTCCCTTCTGCCTGAGGCCCCGCCCCTCCCAGCAGCATGGAAGAAGTCTCCTCCACCTTGTCCAAGGGCCTAACAAATCTGTTGCCTCCTCTCCCACCTCCTGTCTGTGATGCTAGATTCAGAGGGCTAGCATGAGTCTTGATAAAACAAGTCTGTGGATTTGGACTGGGAGGCTTAATCCCATGTGTAGAGGAAGTATTGCTCTTCCCATTTTACAGGTGAGAAACTAAGGCACAGAGAGTGTAATCAACTTGACCAAGGTCAGATAGGAAGTCTGCGGAAGAATCAGAAACTGAACTAGCTGTTCTGAGACCGTTCAAACCTTAGCCACCAGACCTGTGAGGCTGTCTCATCTCAGCAGCTATGCAGGGGTGAGCCTGGTCAGTACTGGAATGTGAGCCCTTCAGTGCATTGCTACAGTAGTGATTTTCAGTAGCTTAAACCATCTCAAAATCTCCAATATTGGCATTACATGGATATAGAACAGGACACATGGCAACCTGCAGAATTATGTGAACGTTTTTATTTGTTTGTTGTTTTTGGAAAGTGGTAGGCTAGGCCAACTTCTAATTTAGGAGTTCCCCATCTAAGCTTCAGTCTAACGTGCGGAACACTGTGGGCGTGATTCAGTATAGCACTTAGCATGTGCTTAGCTTGAAGCCAATGGTATTGATCGTCTCTTTAGACCATTTAAAAATATGTTAGTGGAGAAAAAGATGATAGATGCTGAAAAAGATATGGATGTAATATTAAGTGGAAAACATATGTTTGATTGTTTATTTTACTTCTTGCAAAAAGAAAACCTATTCTTTTGCTCTAGTATGATATTTACAGTATTTTTTCTTTTTAAAAAATGTCTTACTATTTTGCTTTTTTGTTTGTCCTGCGCCTAACTGTTTGTTTTTTGCACAGGTTGCCATTTCTTCTCGCTGCTTGCAACATGGTTCATTTTGGGGCAGAAATTACCCTACTTGTAGTAAAAAGCTTCTGAAATCTAAGCCATTTTGTAAGGCAGCTCTATGAATTTTAGCACTACTGCCAGATCTTAAAATTAAGGAACTCTACTGATGCCCTAAGACATAGATATCATTTACGAGGCGTTTAGTGGGGAATTTAAGAAGTGTGAACACAGAACTCTAAGGCACGTCCCTTGCAAAAGTATACAGTGTAAAATAGTTTTAACATTCAGCACAGCACAAAAAATGTGACTCTTGCCTTGAATATTATGTTGGATTTTAGACTGATTCCAGATACACGTTCCCCTTGTCTAGTAATTTGTTTTAATTGTTTTAATATGTTATTCTCTGTGAAAAGACTAAGGCTGAAATGCTAGGCTGTGTCTACATTGGCGTGATCTTGCGCCAAAGTGGCCGCTTTTGCGCAAAAACATGCTGCCTGTCTACACTGGCGGGGAGTTCTTGCGCAAGAACACTGACGTTCTAATGTGTGAAATCAGTGCTTCTTGCGCAAGAACTATGATGCTCCCGCTCAGGAACAAGCCCTCTTGCGCAACTGTTCTTGCGCAAGAGGCCAGTGTAGACAGGCAACATGAATTTCTTGCGCAAAAAAGCCCGATGGCTAAAATGGCCATCAGAGCTTTCTTGCGCAAGAGAATGTCTATACTGGCACAGATGCTCTTGCGCAAAAGCACATCTCTTGCGCAAAGGCACATGCCAGTGTAGACGCTCTCTTGGGCAAATACTTTAACACAAGAACTCTTGCATTAAAGAGTACTTGCGCAAGATCATGCCAATGTAGACGTAGCCCTACAGTTTGAGCCACTTTGAAAAGACCCTTGCTCAGCCCTTGGGATTCTGCATAGGTACAGCTGTCCATACTAGTGTATCTGATGTAAGAGCTGGACCTAAGTTGAGTGGACATCAGTGTATGAGGTGCACACCCAAATACTTTATAATATTGAAGAATATTGAAGAAATATTCTCCAGTTACGCTAAATGCAAAATCCTGGAAAAAATTACAGAAAATTGAGCAATTGAATTTCATAAGTAAGTACATTTTAGCAAACTGATTTGCTCTTGCTATAATGTAGAGATACATTTGCATTATGGATAAAGTGGAATTGACTGCTCATAATATTCTCACCACAGGTCAGTTACTCCGGCTAAAAATGTTTCGAGAGGATCATGGCTCTTGGATGACAATGTTCTTCAGCACCATTCTCTTCCTCTTCATTTTTTCTCACATTTACAATCTTTGCCTCCTTATGGCGGAAGATATGAGGTAGGTCATGTTTTTTTTTTCCTTTTCTTCTATTGATGCATATATTCTCTCTGGGATTTATTTTATAGTGTGCCCTGTATGATTAACAGTTTACTATAAAGAAAACTCATTAGCGTTTGAAGTCTACCTTCTTCACACCTCTGTTTTTCTCCATTTAGGCATGATGGTAATTTAGCAGCCTGACTGATTAAGAGGTTTGGATGATCAGTGAAGAGCAGTATTAAGCTGATTACTTCACAATTATAAAAATGTGATACAGTTATTAATTATTAACCCAACTTACTAATTTGTAGTTTGTTCACAGAAAAACCTTCATTAAATTGAAAGTTAAGGTTGAGTATGTATCAGTAATCTAAGGGCAAAACTATTACAGGAACAATGTAATTATCCCCATATGAAGCATTACAGCTCAGGAAATTCAGATGATTAAATGGGTAAATATCTTGTTTACTTAACAAGCCAAAAAAGATTTTATTAAAGAATGTGGTGTGTTGTTTAATGGACTGAAATGCATCAGGAAAATATAAATGTGATGTATTATGAGTCCCATTGTGCTTCAAAAAATATATGCAGCATGTGAGGTTTCATTACCAAGATAAGATGAAATAAAAGCTGAAATTAACTAAACGGTAAAACAGTTGGGGTAATAATGTGATCACCATAATAACACCAAACAAATTATGAAGTTGTATTGGTCTAATAGAAATGAAAAAGGATAATCCTCCCAACTCATGGGCTACGTCTACACTGGCATGAATTTCCGGAAATGCTTAAAACGGAATAGTTTTCCGTTATACGTATTTCCGGAAAAGGAGCATCTACATTGGCAGGATGCTTTTCTGGAAAAGCCCTTTTTCCGGAAAAGCGTCTGTGGCCAATGTAGATGCGCTTTTCCGGAAAAAAGCCCAGATCGTCATTTTCGCGATTGGGGCTTTTTTCCGGAAAAGACTACTGGGCTGTCTACACTGGCCCTTTTCCAGAACAGTTTTCCGGAAAAAGGACTTTTGCCCAAGCGAGAGCAGCATAGTTTTTCCGGAAAAGCAGCTGATTTCTTACAGTAGATCGTCATTGCTTTTCTGGAAATTCAAGGAGCCAGTGTAGACAGCTCGCAGCTTATTCCGGAAAAGCGGCCCAGTGTAGACATGGCCATGAGGTTTAGGCTTTAGCAGTCCATCTTGCATTTTTATCTGTTATTGACTGTGTCATTTTGTTATTATCATGCTATATTTACCTTTGATTTCCCAAAAAATAGAAGATAGAACTAGCTTTTGGAGTTAGTGGATAGTGGGTTCTGCCTTGTGACAGTCTTAAATTTGTTGCTGTAACCATGCTTCGCATTCAGAAAGTTAATTCACTGTTTCCAGCACTTCAGGGCCTCACCTTTATTACTTTTTCTCTTCATTTGTTTGCATACTGCCAGCTGTGCTGAAACAACCCTGTGGTAGTCAAAGCCCATATGCATACAGACAGAAATGACCTATTTATAAAATAGCATGCATCAGTCAAACTATCCATTTTCTTATATAACATGAAATAAAATCTCCCCATGCTTGGGGTTTATGCCAGTCTGATATATATAGAAAATTGTTATGGCACATTGACTGTACTATGCCTGGTGAATCATTTGAACTTACCAAATGCTCTGAAGGTTTACTGGAATTTGTTTAGTATATTTCTAGCATAGTGGGTAAAAATGTAAGCAAACAGTAAAAATGTCATTCTTCAATGCTGTGACTTTGATGTAGAATAAGATCACTTTCTTCCACATCAAATATGTATTTGGTATACAGGCAGTCCCTGGGTTACGTACAAGATAGGGACTATAGGTTTGTTCTTAAGTTGAATTTGTACGTAAGTCGGAACTGGCTCCAGATCAGCCGCTGCTGCTGAAACTGACCGGGGGCTGACTACAGGAAGCCCAAGGTAGAGTTGCTCTGCCCCCAGCTTCCTGGAATCAGTCACTGACCAGTTTCAACAGCGGCTGAATCTGGAGCCTGGGACAGAACAGCTGGGGCGCTGCTGGGTAGGTCTCCCCAGGACCAACCCGGCAGCACCCCAGCTGCTGCTGGGGGGGGGGGAACGGGACGACGCACTAGTTGCGCCTCCCGCCCAGCAGACCAGGGAGACCCGGAGCAAAGCTAAGTTAGTTCAAATTAGCGCTGTAGTGTAGACATACCCTTAGAGAGTGGATTTCCTCTTACCATAGCAAATGTAATGCTCATGGAAGCTGCTTGTTTGACTCCATGGTTATTGCATAAACAGCAGTCTTTGCAACATGGCCTTACCAGTGCAACCCAGTCCTACTCTGGAGAAACTAGCATTGAAGGTAAAAAGGCATATCTGTAATTATGGTCATACAAAATCAATAAGGAGTCCGGTGGCATTTTAAAGACTAACAAATTTATTAGCGTATATGATTTTGTGAGATACAACTCACTTCCTCAAATGTGATATCTGTCCTAATTTAATCACGGTGAATGTGGCTCATCTCCAACCGTGATAAGAAGGTTGGAGTACCTGAAGGGGAAATTACTTACTGTAATGTGAGAACCAGTCCACGTTTCTATTTAAACCCCTTTTCAGGGTGTCAAATTTGCATATGAATTTCAGCTCATCAGTTTCTCCTTTTTTTCCCCCAAGTTTTTTTGCTTGAGAATGGCAACTTGAAAGTCTGAAACTATGTCCACAAAAGTTAAAGTGCTCCCCCACTGATTTTTGTATGTTGCCATTCTTCATGTCTGATTTGTGTCCATTTATTCATTTGTATAGAGACAGTCCAGTTTGTTCAGTGTACATGACAGAGGGCCATTGTTGGCACATGATGGCATATATTAACAGGTATCAGGTTTAAAACAAACAAAAGGAAGTACTTCTTCACTCAACACACACTCAGCCTGTGGAACTCCTTGCCAGAGGATGTTGTGAAGACCAGGACTTCAACAGGGTTGAAAAATGAGTTAGATAATTTCATGGAGGTTAGGTCCATCAATGGCCATTAGCCAGGATGAGTAGGAATGGTGTCCCTAACCTGTCAGAATCTGGGAATGGGTAACAGGGGTGGGATCACTTGCTGATTATCAGTTCTGTTCATTCCATTTAGGGGCACCTAGCAATGGCCACTGTCAGAAGAAAGGATACTGGATTAGATTGACCTTTGGTCTTATCCAGTGTCGCCGTTCTTGTGTTCTTCTTACATTAATAGATGTGCACGTGAATGAGCCTAGCTGATGTGATTAGGTCCTGTGATGGTGTCACTAGGGTAGATGTGTCACTGGCTGAGTGACTGTCTGTCTGAGAAGCTGGCACAGAGCAATGTAGTGCTATCATTTCCAATTGTCTCTCAGTTACCAGCCCAACCCAACTTGATAAGTTCAGACACTACATTTAAAAGGGGAATTCTCCCTCAGAAGGGAGTGTGTGTGGCATATCACAGCCAGTGTGCAGAGAGACTGGGTTAGGGAAGCAAAAGATCAGAAGAGCTGCTTATCCTATGGGAGAGACACCAATCTCAGTACATGGAGGCAGGGTCGTGATTTTAGGATTGTTATTTTCCAAAGATCTGTAACTCTTTAATGCTGATGAAAAGTAAAATTCCTGTGGTTAAGAAATACTTTGCTAACCCTGAGTTCCTAACCTGCCTGCCATTTTGTCTCTGCTGGGGTCAATAAAGAAGCTCAAAGCACCTACTGAGGGAATGTGCATAACTGAGTAGAAAGGCTCTAAAGAGCTGGAATGCTCTTTTGGGAATGTAAGGGAGCTAGGACTGAAGGACTTGATTGCCAGACACAGAGCATGTATCTGGGAATATGCCTGACATTCAAAGCTATAAAGTGTGACCAGCCACCAGTAGAGCAGGTTGAAAATTTTCTACAGATGTTTGTGGAAAAATGCCAATCTTTTGAAACAAAAACATTTTGTGGAAATTATTCACTTTTGATAGAAGAAGCATGTAGGCAGTGATAGGGGTGAGACAGAAAAAAAGGCCCTGGACTAACCTAGTGGCTATGGTACTCATCTGGAATATGAAAACCCTACCTTCAGGATCCTGCTTTGCTTGATTCAAAGTAAGGATAGGGTCTCCCATGTTATAGGTAAATGATCTTTGCCTCTTTTCAGTTGGAGCTGTTTCTCATTGTATAATATGCTTTGGGCTAGAGACACTGACTATGCAAGAGGTTAAGGAACACAAACAGAATGTAATGGAGCTTCAGGGGGTAGCTGAGTTAGTCTGTTATAAAAAAAACAGCAAGCAAATGGTCTGGTAGCACTTTGTAGACTAATAAAACACGTAGATGGTATCGTGAGCTTTTGTGGGCACAGCTCACTTCTTCAGATGACTGGAGTTATGATTAGAGGATAAGGAAATTCAAAATAAATAGGAGAAGGGAAGGGAGGGGCGGGAAAAGGTTGTTCTGTCGCCCAGCCCCCTACCTCTAAGCATAAAGTATCAGGAGAAAGGGTTTTTCCACAAAAATCTGTAGAAAATTCTCAACCTGCTCTACTGGTGACTGTCACACTTTATAAATTTGAATGTCAGGCATATTCCCAGCTACATACTCTGTGTCTGGTCATTCAAGTTCCTGTGACCCTCACATCCTAGGAGAATTCCCTGACCCCTGGGAGTGGGTCTCTCTGTTTTTTCATTAAAACTTTCTGAAGGTTGCAGTTTTGTCCCAGCATGGAATGGGAAAAAATTTGAAATTTGTGAACATTTTCACAGGAAAGGAAAACTATTTCCTACCCAGCTATTGTCACTCTCTACACCACGGAGGCTGGGGCGATGCGGTATACAGTGGTTGGGTTTAGGGATGTTAAAAGGGTTAACCATTTTAACTCAGGGCCTGCCGCCTGGCCTGCCAACCAGCCCCAATGCGACCGTGGGGTCCTGCTGCAGGTCCTGCCATGGCTGTGAAGTCCTGTTGCTTGGCCTACTGGCCTTCCTTGGCTGGGGATGCTCTGGCCTGTCATGGCTGGTCACAAGCAGAGTTCACTGGAAAGAG